TCATAGCCTGCATCTCATCCGCTCGCCTCCTGATCTCCTCGTTTTCTCGCTGGATGGCTCCTCCCTTTCTCTGGATCGTGCATTCTCCTCTCTCAAGCCATTGATCAATGCCATCATCTCCTCCATGGTAGGGTGTTGTGGGTCGTTGTTTGATGTGCCGCCTCTCGCCATGGTAAAGTGCAGGTTCTTCTATATGATTTGGGGCGCAGGAAAAGTTTTACCGTAGCCCCACCGTGGGCGCCAAATTGTTTCGGCCAAAGGTTGGACTAGGGTTTCTTCCTAGATCAAGCCTCAAAGCCAGAGCATTCAAAAGTGTAATCTGTCGTCTTAACTCTAGGGTTTTAGGTTTTATATTTTCTTGTTTGCGGGCCTCATGGGCCCCGAGAATGAGGTGATTTCCTTAACCGTTTTCATAGAGAACATTTGATTATTAGAAGTAAGATTTCTATCCTTAATTCTCGGATCAATGTGAAAAGTGAGGCTTGTTCGGATACTGGCCGATACCATCCAGGCCGAGTCCATACTGGCCGATACCAACCAAGCCGAGTCCATCCTGGCCGATACCAACCAGGCCGAGTCCATCCACCGACTAGGCCGAGTCCATCCTGGCTGATACCAACCAGGCCGAGTCCATCCACCGACTAGGCCGAGTCCATCATGGCCAATACCAACCAAGTCGAGTCCATCCTGGCCGATACCAACTAGGCCGAGTCCATCCACCAACCAGGTCGAGTTCACCAGCGTGACCGATATGGGATCGGGCTTTTACCGAGATCACCATCGTTGGAGGGGTATCAGGTTAAATTCTGATTGTTCTTACGCATGGGCCAGAACCAGGTCGGCCGTATTCCGACTCCTCCCTTGATCGTATCGGAAACATACCGAGACGGTACAAAAATATTTAGTATTAAAAATTAATTTTCTTTTTTCATCTTCTTCCTATATTATTGGGAGCGAATTTTTTTCTTATATTTTATTTTAAATAAAAAGAAATAAAATAATATTTTCATTTTTATTTAATAATGTTCTTCGATTTTTTCCCCTTTTATTTTCATTATAGCACTAAATGAAAAGTCACATACATTATTATATTAAAAATTCATTTAAAAAATAAAATTATCGTCATAAATATATTTTCTTTGTTAACGTTTACTTTTTATTAATAAAATGTTAACTAGTGTCTTTAATATACTAATTAAAAATATTTTTTATAAAAAAAATATTTACACATTTCTTTATATAATTTTATCGCAGTTTTAAACAAAAAAATTATATATCAATTTTATAATTTAAAATCTTAAATATGAAATTATAATTAAGACATTTCTAAAATGTGATTATGAGTCTAACTTAACATATAAAATGGACTTCTAAAATGATGATTGTGCTCTATTATATATATATATAATTTATTTTATTTTATATCTAATTAATATGAAATTTAAATTTTTTTAATATCTTTTTAATAATATAGAATCAGCAGAACTTTAATTTTTTTATCAATATGTATCTTCATATTCGATAATATTAAGTTTGATATTGTATAAATGATGAATGTTTTTTTTTATTTCATCTTAAAATATAAATAATGAATCAAATTTAACTTTAGAATTGTGAATGAATTAGTGTCTATTTTATATACTTTTGTTTTATAGTACGACTTATCTCTAATCATGAGTCTGACTTGATGAAAAAATATACATATTCATAACATTAAAAAAAATCTTGTTGAAAAATTAAATTTGTTATTATCAGTCAAATCAAAGCAGTTAGAATATATATGTCGGAAGCAATGGAACCACATGAGTGAACCAAATAATACCTTGTTTTGCATGAATAAAATGAAGGTGACTACTGAGGAGAGTGATGGCAGTAAATAAACGCAGTGTTTGATACGGAAGAGGCGTGAACTCGTGAAGAGAAGTACGAACGAACATGTTACGTGGTTTATAGCGGTGTTCTGTTCTGTGTTCATGCCATCTGATAAATTCCAACTTAACAAACTCAATTATTTTATATATTATTAATTTGATTAATAATTAATATACTTGTATCATTTTTATTATTTTTAAAACATTTTTATGTTATAATATATAAAATATATTCTAATTATTTTAAAAATATTTTTGTCTTATAATATATAAATTTTTCATTTCTTTCTTCAAATAATTAAAAATATAGAAAAAAAATATATT